CACAATAACAATGTTATATAAAGGTACAGCGAAAAACAACGCCGGACTACGAACAGTACCTTGATAAAAACGGTTTCAGTTTGAGAATACTGAACGAAGTTTCATTGGCTATTCTCAAAGCCCCTGGGTGGTGATTTCACTAGCTGAATCAGTCGAAAAAAACGTCATTCATTTATTGGTTATACTTTTAGCCATCAATCGAAAAATTTTAACACCAATACTCTAGTTAAAAACAACGATTAAGGCTTTTGATACCGATTTCACTTTGCTTCCCGATGAACTGTGTAGGACGCAGGATATGAGTAATGTAGGTTGGACTCCGCCTTCAGTTTTAAAGCTTCGTTTCTTTTCGGATCAATGTGACCATTTGTATGTCACCTAGATCTAAACTATTCAGGCGTTTTTCTCTAATTGATTTGTCTAATCCGATGTGCTTTGATTTAACAAAGTGCATTCTCTTCTATCGGTCTCAATGAGTGAATTTTTGCACACATACACACTGTTAGAAATGATCAGTGGAATGTTGAAAACAAATACTTCTTTCCTCATCTGTTGCATAGCTCTGTTAGTGTTTTGAGGAATAAAACGGTCACCGTTAGACTATCCATTGGTCTAGAACTCATCAATACCTGCATGTGTGACTTTCTCAATGATCGGATCAGTTTGGTTCCCTTCAATTGAACTTTAAGATCATTATCAACTGCTGTTCACAATACTCAGTTAGTATGATTCTTTAAAATCGGTAATTTCACATAAAACCGACTACAAATCAGAACAAAAATGGTTCCTGATTATCCCAAGGTCACTCGCTACGGGTCCCGCGATGGAAAAATCAATCATCCTTTCGTGCGCTGTCAGACTCACATGAGCATTGGGACGTTTTTCAACCACCAAACACATCCGTTCCCCACTCTCCGTGTTCGGATAGTCCATTGTGGCCTCGAGTACATCAGCCAGATAGAAATTCACACCGAACACGGTCAGATTGTTGGACTGTTTCTGGTTTCTCAGTGGTGCATCATCTGAACGCAACGTCTTGTAGAAATAGCGCATCTCGTTCGCACGAGGCAATGAACCGCCAAGAGTTTGACATTGTAACGCAGCTTGCATCCAACTTCCCGTCTCACTGGTTCGAGTCCAAGTGAAATTCACTCGACGCGGTCCGGCTGAACCGACCAGTTCGATCCGAGATCCTTCTGATTGTTCCACATTTAACAGCGGTTGCTCGGACATAGCACAAATGAAAACAAGGATCAGAACGAAGAAACTTTGTTGAACAGTCATGTGCTTCATAGCATGCTGCGTGAAAAGTGTCAGGAACGAAAAGGTGACAAAAAAGATGGATGTTTTGGGGTATTTACTCTGTGTTTGCAATGAGTCCAATAGACGACTGGAAAAAGTAAGTGGACAGATTGGATGCAACTGCTGGTGTTCCTGCCGCTAATTCCAGAACCGATTGCCAACTGGCTGAGTGTGTATTGCGACTATAGATAAGGTCAATCGATTGACGGACAATGCGGATTGGTTCGTTCTGGGCGAAACAATGACCAAATCGTATGCTAGGATGAATAATAATTAGATGTGTATGCACCAGCACTACGCGCATAGCTCTCAAGTTTGGTGTATCCTTGCGATACGCAACCGCATTGAATATGGCAATGCTGATACCCAGTCACATCAATCTTGCTTTGATGCTCACGCTTGTACCCGTGTGTGTGTGCAATAGGTGAGGTCTAAATCGCATTTGGACTGAGTGACGGGGAGGGGGCAAAGTTGACATATATCCAGCCTCGTTCGAATCGTTGTCTCTACACATCATAAAAGCATGTTAGAATAATTTAGGAAACTGAATGCGAATAGTAGGAATGCTAGATGAGCGCCGTTGTTCTTCTCAACCGTGGGTTTAATTGATTTTCGATTCAGTTTTTCTTGGTAAACGTGGATCTGCAAGCCCGCTGGAGTAATTCGGTAGAAATGAAAACGTTGCTGTATGCCAATTTTGATTTCTTCTGTTCATCTGTATCACATTCTATCTCCCATAGATCTGTTTGTGGTGCAAATAATTAGGTGTCCGAAAAATCCATACTACGAATTCATGGATGCTATGAATAATGGACGAAAATTCAATTCATTAACGGTAGAGTCAATGAGACTATGATTTTCTACCCAGCCAGGTCATATTTAATGTTTGCCGATCCTAACCCCGCAGCTGTTTCCAGGCGGTTAAATTTGGTCGCATTGTATTTTATTACTTGTGGGTATCCTAAGGAGAGCTTATCTAAAACACCACTCGTCCAACTGCCAAACACAGGCCAATTGTGACAACCAATCAGAAGTACTGCGGTCCAGACAGAAGCTGTATGAAATCAGGAATACAAGCACGCGATT